GGGGCCCAGAACCAGGGCAAGAAGGGGGATGGGACCCAGAACCAGGGCAAGAAGGGGGATGGGGCCCAGAACCAGGGCAAGAAGGGGGATGGGGCTCAGAACCAGAGCAAGAAGGGGGATGGGGCCCAGAACCAGGGCAAGAAGGGGGATGGGGCCCAGAACCAGGGGAAGAAGGGGGAAGGGACTCAGAACCAGGGCAAGAAAGGGGATGGGGCCCAGAACCAGGGCAAGAAGGGGGATGGGGCCCAGAACCAGGGTAAAATATTGGAGGGAACGCCAAACCAGGGCAAGAAGGTTGAGGGGGCCCAGAATCAGGGCAAAAAGGGAGAGGGATCCCAGAACCAGGGTAAAAAAGCAGAGGGGGCTCAGAACCAGGGCAAAAAGGTAGAGGGAACGCCAAACCAGGGCAAGAAGGGAGAGGGAGCCCAAAACCAGGGCAAGAAGGGAGAGGGGCCCCCAAACCAGGGCAAGAAAGGGGAGGGGGCCCAGAATCAGAACAAAAAGGGGGAGGGGGCTTCTAACCAAGGCAAAAAAACAGAGGGGAGCCCCAACCAGGGCAGAAAGGGAGAGGGAGCCCCCAACCAGGGCAAAAAGGCAGAAGGGACGCCTAACCAAGGCAAAAAGGCACAGGGGACCACCAACCAGGGCAAAAAACCAGATTCAGTTCCTAGTCAGGGCACAAAGGCAGAGAGTGTCACGAACCAGGGGAAAAAAGCTGAAGGAACCCCTAATCAAAGCAGAAAGACAGAAGGAACTCCCAACCAGGGTAAAAAGGCAGAAGGGTCTCCCAACCAGGGCAAAAAGATGGATGCAGCTGCCAATCAGGGTAAAAAGTCAGAGTCAGTTCCTGTCCAAGGTAAAAATGCAGACATGGTCCAGGGCCAGGAGGCACCAAAACAAGAGGCTCCTGCAAAGAAGAAATCTGGTTCAAAGAAAAAAGGTGAGCCTGGTAAGTGACTCTGGTCTCTTTGTGACCTTGGAGGGAAAAGCTGTCTTTATATGGCTTGTGGATTCCCTTGAGGAGCCATCTGTAATCGTCAGCTTTTGCCACAATAAGACCCTGTAACAAACATCCCCCAAATTTAATGGCTTACAACAGCAGTCACTTACCCTTCTTCATACTGCTGTGAGTTGGCTGGAGGTTGGCTGGGATGTCTTGGCTTGGAGGTTCTGCTTCAAGCTGTGGTCTAACTGGGTCAGCTCCTTGCTGCAAGTTGAGCTCASGTCTGGTCCTCATGTATTAATTCTGAGGTCTGGGCTGGGGATTCAGTGGCTCTCCAGGGTAGAGGGACAAAAGGGCATTTCAAGTAGAAACACATCTATCCTGGGATCATTGGCCAGGGAAAATCATGTGACTGAGCCTGAATCAAGGGCCAGGGAGTCTTCTCTGTCTCCAGTGAGAAGGACTGCAAAGTGATGTTGGGTAGGGGATTTGAAGGAATAGTCTACATAGGACTGTGTCTTGACAAGTCAGTCTTAAATATCCGACTGTATTCTGTCAGACTGTTCTTTGTTCTTATTTCACCTGATGCTTTTGTATAGCTTTATGCATTTAAATATATTTGTTGGGTTAATAGCAGTAGAGTAATGTTCTTAAGGTGCAGACACATTCTTCCATATTGCTCCAACCTTCCTCTCTTCCCTGCTCCTACCCTAGTTATGTAATGGAAGTTTTATGGAACATTAATGTAGGAATTGTTTCATATAGACAGATATTAGATCATGTAGAGCATTAATTTGCCTTTATCTGTGTAGTGCATACTAGTAGAGAAATTGGACCAGAGTGCATCACTCATTGGATTTCACTTTGTCTCTTCCTCCTCCTCCCCCTCCACTTCTTTCCTCCTCCAGTGTTTGAATAGCCATTGACTGAATGGAAAATTAATTCTGTTTGTCTTAAGGAAAGGTATCTTAGGGCATTTGAAGGTGTGAACCTGTGTCATGTAGCATAGGGCCCTGTTGTTTTTAAAAAGTTGAATTTTCCTATTTTGCTCCTCTGTTGAACTTTGTTCCCTTTCTCAGGTCTCCCCCAACTCCAGTTTCTGATGGGACATTTCCTCGGAGTATATGAGGAAACCCATCCCACATGACTGGCTCTGGGACTTGCTCAGCATCAAGAGGCCCACCTGGGTCAGGTTGGCCTTTTAAGACCTTGACACTGAGGAACTGGGCTTTAGCTTACTTCCAAAGGCTGGAGAGTAGCATACTGCCCTGTCTTTAACATGATGTTTGTTCCACTGCACCCGCAGATAGGGGTAGAGCTGAGAACTGGCTGGCATCAGATTTTCCCACATGGAGTTGTTTAGTGCTTCCTGTGCCCCATGGTCATTATTAGGACTGGGATTATATGACTCAGTGATAGAGCACTTGGGAGCATGTACTGGGCCCTGGGTTTATCCTCACCCCTGCAAAAACAACAACATGGTCTTTGTTACCTTGGATGGTTTTAGATGTTTGAAATAAGATGTGAAACAGAAATGTGGTGGTGATAATAATATTGGAAGGGAAGTTGAAATTACCCTAATTTGCCAAGTAATAAAGAACCTTGTAAGGAATAAGACTTATGTGTGATCTGTCTAAATCTATGCAACAGCTTGATTGAGGTGAAAAGAAAATTTGAACCAGGAAAATAACTACCATGATCCTGATAAGAAAGATTAAATATTATAGATAAAATGGTAGTTATTTCAAGTTAACTTATGGTCTCCTGTTAAGCTTTCAATGAGCTATCCCCCTCTAACTTGACAAAAGTTGTAAAAGCTCCATCTGAGGGGAAAAAGGTAAGAACAGTGAATAGATTTTTTAAAATAGCATTTATAAGGCCTGTCCTGTCTGCTATGGGAACATTTCTCCCAAATATTGTGATTATAAGTAGGGAAGTAGAATGGTCCAGAAATCAACTTTGTCACCCCTGAGAACATACATGAGGGATGCATCAGATTTTAGTAGGAAAGAAAAATGTTCAGTGAATGATTTTGAACACCATGTTCATAAAAACTAACTTACTCCCCCCTTAAACTTACCCTTTCTAAAACTTTAACATTTAGATAAAATATATTTAATTTTAAAAGAAATTAATATTGATCTGCCCAGATGGTGGAAGACAGTCCAAGGTTGTAATGAGAGGTGGGTGTGGGGGAACTTGACTACACAGATGGCCAGGTGGGATTGTCAGGACCAACAGTAAAAGACAAAGCTGGAAATGGGCAACTGGTGTGACACTGGAAACGCAAGGCAGATTTCTTTTTTCTTCAGAGTCTAGAAACATGGGGAAAGTACTTTTTTGTATTTTTCATTTTTCTGAATTTGCACTGTGCATTTTCTGCTATTTTCTCATGGTTGGTGGATGCAGGCCATCTTTACCCCTACCCCACCCCCCGCACAGCCCTCCCCCCGCCCCACAAAAAAAAATATCCTTGAAGGTCCTGAATGTTTCTCCTCCTGCAGTTCTTCTCATATTTGATATGCAGACTATCCCCTGGGGATCTTGTTAAGATAAAGATGTGCCTTAGCTGGGGGGAGTGCTTGGGGTGGGCCTTCGATACTGTACTCTTTACCAGTTCCCAGGAGATGCTTCTTACCYCAGGCCTACACACAGGCTAGGAGGGACCTTTTCATATATCAGACAGTTTTGAAAATTCACAATATTCAAATAAAATAAACTTTATTTAAGATGATTACTTCAAGCAAGAAAACATGGCTGTGGTTAAAAAGATTGTGGCATTGTGAATTGTATGACCCTTTTAAAAAGCAATTTAGCAAAATATATCAAGAGCTTTTGGAGGGGCTTGTAGTTTTCTTCTACTCCTGAGACTCTCCTCTGAGCAAAAAGTGTAAGCTGTGGCAGAGAGGGTTTGTGGTTAGTGGCCCTGACTGCCTGGGGACTCAGTACATTCATTCTGCCCACCCAGACACAGAGCAGCCACCAACAGTGATGGGTGTGAATATTCCACCGTGACATGCAGAAACTTTACAGCATGATTTTCATTTGAAAAAAGCAGGATRCCAGATTTTTTTAGACAACATAGCAATAGAAAACAAAGACATTAGATGAGTGATAACTGATAAAAAAATAAGGAAATGTATAGTCTTCCCTCCATGACTAAGGGGATTGATTCTAAGACTATCCCCTGTGTATTTCAGACTCTCTGGATGTTTAAGACCTTTATATAAAATGACTTAGAATTTGCATTGTCCTATATACTTTCTTATTATTTTGTTTTTGTGGTGCTAGTGCCTCATGTATGCTAGGCAAGGGTTGTACCACTGAGCTATACCCCCAGCTTTCCCCTAATACTTTAAATCATTTCTAGATTACTTAAACCTAACACAGTATAGATGCTATGTAAATAATTGGTTGAATTCGTGAATGAGGAACCTGTGGATTCAGAGTACTGACTTTCCACATTGAGAAGTCCAGTTGTCTTCTGATTTTTTTTTTTTTTTTTGCAATGTAATAATATTTTATTCTTCAGAGAAGTCAGAAAGTAACCTTGAAGAAGGATCTTGTGGCTGTGACAGTGCCCCCTGAAGTTGAAAATACTTGTGTGGAAGGCCTTTGATAATTTTCTGTGCAAGGCCACATGGGACAGAAATTCTAATGAGCTGTTGTAGTAGATAATTTCCTATTAAAATCCTTCTTATTTAATGACCTTTTAAATTATTTTAGGGGCATAAAATTGGGTCTTGATATATTATCTTAAATTCTCTGTTCATCATTCCAAAAGAACAAAAACAAAAAACACAACTCCAGCAATAATGACACTTCCCGATGTGAAAACAATCCAGAGATACCTGGATGTCAGAGGCAGATGGAACTGCTTTTCCTGCATCTGGTAAACCCTCTAGATACAGCTTAGCATGTCAGGCCTCTGCAGTGGATTTATCTTAGAGTTGTGGTGAAATGCAGAGAAGGACCCTTGAGTATGAGTCTAGAAGATGACCCAAGAGGGTGAAGGTCATTCATATCATCAAAGGCTGGGAGAGGCCACTCAGAATTGTCATTAAGGGAAAATGGCCTTAATGACTGGGTCAAGAGCTCTAGCTGTACTAAGGAGACCCTCTTGAAATTTTCAAGCAGTGTAAGCTCAGGACAGATGAAAGGAGGCATTTATGAACTTGGAAGGGAGTCATTAGCCAACACACATGGATGGGTGGTAAGTCCCAAAGTTCCAGGTGCTGCCTAATTGACAAGAGCATGTATTCAGTAGATTATTTTTCCATAGAATTAGAACAGTGTATTAGCAAGTCTCCAAGGTGAGTATTTCAGGCCATACTTTGTGAAGACCAACACCAGGTAGATGATCTCTTCCCTATTTAGTGGTAGTCTTCTTCTCATGCTCTTCCTCCCTATCCCATTTTGAGTCACTCCAGCCTCTAGTTTTAAAATTTTGAGTCAGGGTCTACTAAGTTGCGCAGGTTGGTCTTGAATTTCCAATCCTTTGCCTCAGCCTCCAAGGCACCACGCCTTGCAGAATTCTTGCTTTTAATGCTCAAAACTCAGCTTCTGCTCCTACCATGGACAGAGTGGCCCATACCCCACGTCCCTGCAATGGTGAGAATCTCCTCAGCTTCCTGACTTACACTCAGGATGTGGCAGACTTTGAGTCCCTGGAATGACAGAAGCTGAGTATCTCCTAGATGGAGGGCAGGGAAGGAGGTGCTGCCGTGATATGAGGAGGTTGGCATGCATTAAATGGAGGTGTCCATAGCTAGTCTGTGTGGATAGTGATGGAGGTTAAGGATCATGTCTTTTTACTGTATCCATTAGTTACATTGTCAGACCCCATGTGGCCATCATCAAACCAAAGCAGGAAAGAACATGTTCAGGAGTTACTGTTTTTTTAATTGAATGGTATACTTTGCTCTGTGATGATGTTATCTAAGAATGTCCAAAGCAAGTGGAGGTCTCTACTGACTATGGGTTATGAGGTTAACATGGTGAATATA